AGACTGAGGAAGAGCTGTCATGTTCAAAGCACAAGAATCAACCTAAATGATGTGGAGGGAGTAAACTTCTAGAACCCTTGTTTGCTGAAGTGACACGACTCAACACGAGAAGCAACATTCACCACTAATCAGAATGGGTTTATATGAATCAAAGTAAACTGAAAGTCATCAGAAATGTAATAACTGAAGATTGATAATCTATGTATTGCTGAGCCGAAAGAGCTGGAATTGGTTCATTTGAATCTTAGAATCAGTGATAGACTACTAACCTGAGGAGTCAAAATCAAACCAAACTGGTTATCAAGTCAGTTCTAACTCAGAGTGAACCTACTTATATAGGCCAAAATAGAACTTCCCCACTGGGTTTCCAAGGAAGTAAATTTTTTTCAATCATTTTACTGGGGGCTCATACAACTCTTATCACAATCCATACATACATCAATTGTATAAAGCACATTTGTACATTCATTGCCCTCATCCTCCAAACATTTGCTCTCCACCCAAGCCCCTGGCATCAGCTCCTCATTTTCCCCCTCCCTCCCCGCTCCCCCCTCCCTCATGAACCCTTGATAATTTATAAATTGTTATTTTGTCATATCTTACACTGTCCGACGTCTCCCTTTACCCACCAAGGATGTAAATTTATGGAAGCAGACTGCCATATCTGTCTCCCATGAATTGGCAGGTGGGTTCAAACTGCCAACCTTTTGGTTAACAAGCGAGTGCTTAACCACTGCACCCCCAAGGCTCCTCACCAGTAAAGTAAACAAACAACAAAACAAGCAAACAAAACCCTACTATCAGCAACCTGATTCCATCTCAACAACCAATTTAGGGTTTTGGAAGCTGTAAAACTTTAACAGAAACAGATAGCTTCATCTTACTTCTGAGGAGCAGTTAGTGGGTTTGAACTGCAGGCCTTGTAGTTAGCTACCCAAAACGTAATCCACTAGACAACTAAGGCAATTTCATCTCTAAGATATATATTTATAATATAAAAATATCCAATAAAAAAGTATTGTCCTCTTTATAGAAAAACAGCAGCAAAACAAGCATCCTTGGATTAGATTTGCAAAAAGCTATCAGATGATCCAAAAGATTTGTAAAACATCTTTAAAAGTTTTCAGAACGTCCTGAAAAGTTTCTTTGCCTTCTGATTGTCGTTAAAATTAGGGAAAATGAGAACTTAATATAGCATTTGGTTAAGAGATCTGAGAGGTAAAAAAAATGTAGGCTCCCTTGTTTCACTAGGACAGACGAAGTGATAAGCTCAAAACCCACTTTTTGCCTCCGTCCCAAATTCACTTCCCAAGCACATCTAGGGACAGAACTGGTCTCCTAATTCCAATGCTCTTTCCATTAATTTATATCTTTAAAGCCAATATTCACTAAAAAAAAAAAACTTTAAAAAAGTTTATTAAGGATACTGTCCAAGTAGAAAATCAATAGTTACCAATAGAATGGATGAATGTCATTTTCTATCAAAAAACAAATTCACTGCTATCAAGTCAGTGCTTACCCACAGCGACCCCTTCTGAGACTTACTGCTGACAGAGGTAGAAAGCCTCGTCTTTCTCCCACGGAGCTGCTGGTGGTTTCAAACAGCCAACCATGCAGATTGTGGCCCAACGCATAACCACTGCACAAACAGGGCTCCTTTTAAAATAAAAAGCTGGCATTTGTGATTATTTTCATGGGGAAACATTTTTCTTTAGATACACTACTTATCATACTGCCATCGAGTGGATTCTGACTCCTAGTGACTATCGGACAGGCTATAACTGCCCCTATGAGTTTCCAAGACTGTCACTGTCTAGGGGAGTAGAAAGCCTCATCTTCTTTCTCTCAGAATAGCTGGTGGTTTCGAAATGATGACTATGCGGTTAGCATCCCAACATGTAACCCACTACACCACCAGGACATAAGCATATTTAACACAATGTATGGCGATATATTATGTATTTGATGGTTTTCACGCACACTTATGGTTTTCTTAACAGAAATGCTAAGGAAATTGAATTTACAAAAGATTTGCACTGCAAATGTTTCAGAGGCAATTATATGGTATAATACAATATCAAAATGAGAAACTATTAAATAAAAATGTCTATTAAGAATTTTGGAGGAGCCTGTTGACTTATAATTAGTCTGAGATAATATTGGGCTGTGATGCACAAAGTCAGCAGTTCAAAACCACCGCTCTTCAGGAGAAAGACCCAGCAAATCCTTCATCTTTGTTTCCAACTCTGCATTCCAATTATCAGTAGTTATCAATATATCTTGATGATATTTGATCAATTTCAGACTATAGTTGTTAGACATCTTCAGTTTCTTCATGGTTGGCTTCAGTGGTTGGTGCATATATTTGAATAATAGTCCAATTAAGTGATTTACCTTTTATGTGTATGGATATTATCCTATTGCTGACAGCATTGTACTTCAGAATACACCTTGAAATGTAGATGAATCTAACACCATTCCTCTTCAATTTGTGAGTCCCAGCATAATAAACCATTGCCTCACTCAGAATGCCAATAACAGTCCATTTCAGTTCACTCTGGCCTAAGATGTTGATCTTTATGGGTTTCATTTTTTATGGACCTTAGTTTCATACTTTGTACATTCCACATTCCTATTCACGGATGATTGCAACTGTTTCTTCTGATTTTGAGTCATCCCACATCAGCCAAGGTTGGTTCCAAATGCTTTGCTCCATCTCTGTCATTATAGTCAAGTCTACTTAGAGGAGACAGCTCTTCTCCAAATATATATATATATAATTTTCCAATTCCATATGTTTCTCCCAATTATATTTGAGTACCTTCTAACAGGGGCTCATTTTCTGGCATGATATCAGATAATGCTCTACCGCTTCTCATAAGGTTTTCAGTGGCTAATTTTTCAGAAGTAGTTCACCTCTGCCTTCTTCCTAGTCTGTCTTAGTCTGGTAGATCTACTAAAATCTGTCTACTATTGGTGACCATATTTGAAATAATAGTGGCATAGCTTCTAGCATCACAGTAATACGCAACCAGATGAGTGTCAGAAATACACACACACATATATAGATATATCTACCAATCTATCTTTTCCCTCCAAGCTCATCACTGCAGTAAATGGCACTGCATTTACTGTGATTATCCAGAAACCTACCATGGGGATCATCCTTGAACTGTCAATCTTCCTTACCATCTCCATCCAATCAAGTACTCTGAGGTTTCCTCTAAAATGTTTCAAAGTTGTTCACTTCTCGACAGAAGTTGACGTCATGCACACATAGCAAAGCCTGTTATCAAGTCAATTCGAACTCATAATGACCTTGTAGGACAGAGCAACACTGCCCAATAGGATTTCCAAGGCTGTACATCTTTCCAGAAGCAGACAGCTTCATCTTCCTTGTACACGTGCCAGGTGAGTTCAAAGAGCCGCCTTCCAATGAGCAGCCATGCACGTTAATCACTGTACCACCAGGGCCTCTTTCAAGTGACATGCGTACTCATAGGACACAATGAAGCTGCTCCTTTGGGTTTAGAGACTATAAATTCTTACAAACGCACACAGCCTCATCTTTTTCCTGCATGGCAGCTGGTGGGTTTGAACCCGGGTCTTTTGGTTAGCAATCCCAAATGCTTAACTCATTGCACTATCAGTGCTACTTCCATTACCACTACCCAACTAAAAGTCATGTAGCACCTCTTCATAGCCATTCAGACCCTGACAACAGCCAAAATTGTTTCATGACAGTTCCTGAAACTCTTCAACAGCTTTCCATTCTCCTCTGAGAAAGATTTCACATTTTTAACTCAATCAACAAAATCTGCCAGGATCTGGCCTCTGCCCCTAATCTGGTCTCATTTTCCCCCTAGCTTACTTACAGGCCGTGCTAAATTTAATCCATTGTTTAATCTATCTTCTTCCTTCTCTTCTGGCTTAGATTCAATGATACTTTACCAGAGTGGTTGTATTAGTCTGGGTACTTTGGAGAAACAAATCCACATCAACTCATGTATGAGAGAGTTTTATGTAAAGGTTAAGTGCGCATCAAGAAAATATCCCAACCCAGTGCTGCCCAAGCCCACAAGTCCAACATTAGCCCATATGGGAACTGCTAAGACAGCTGCACCCTGGTGCGACCACAAACAAGAGACTCAAAAACTAGAAAGGCGAGGCTCACCAAGCCATTTATCCCTCCGCCCTTCAATTAACCTAACCCCACATGTGTTTATCGGCCAGGTTGGCACAATTAACTAACTCAGTGGTCTTCTCTAGCATCCCCACAAGGTTGTTGTCATTATTAAAAAGCCCATTGCCATCAAGTCAATTCCAACTCACAGTGTTCCTATACAGGCATTCCGAGGCTGTAAATCTTTACAGGAGCAGGTAACCTCGCTCCCCCTCTTGAAGCTACTGGTGGGTTTGAATTGCTGATTTTGTAGTTAGCTTTAACCTTACCCAATAGCACCATTAGAGCTAGAATCCCATATATGTTTTCATAAATGTTTTGTAGTCTTAGAGTTATTTTTGATTGTTTAAGACTCAGCTATCTGTCCTCTTGCCACTTGAAGGAATACAGATGCTTTCACTGTTCCTCATAGATCTATTAACTCGCTGCCGTGGGGTTCGTCCTAACTCATAGTGACCCTATGGAACCAAGTAGAATCATCCCTGTGAGTCTCCAAGGCTGTAAATCTGTACAAGAACAGAAAGCCTCATCCCTCGCCCATGGAGCACGGCGGGTGCGTTTGAACTGCTGACCTTGTGGTGAACAGCACAATTCATAATCCACTATGCTGCCAAAGCTCCTTCATCGTTCTACTATAGAATGTTAACGAAGCTAGCTTACTAACACTTTGCGTGGTACAAACATGTATATTAGGTGGCCCTTAAGAGACCATGGATTTAAAGCGAGGGTTGGGGATGGTGGTAGAGATGGTCTAAATTTACCTCTATTTGTTTCAGAGCTTTATAATTGAGAGTGATTTAATTTGTTTACTTTTTAGGAATTGAGAATCATGTCAACTTCAAATTCGGACACAGAAATTAAATCTGAACAAGTGTCTACTTGTGTGAATCCAGGAAACCCTGTGTTTTCATGTATGCTGGACCCCAAGACCCTCTGTACAGCTACCTCGCTGTCAAAACCTCAGATGATTATGTATAAAACCAAGTCAAGTGATTATGGGGACTTTTCACCCATCCCAGAGTTTCTTCCCTGCAGTTACACTCCAAAGGAACAAGCATTCTCATGCCACCTCAGAGCAACCGGATTTTATCAAAACAACACTCTAAACACTGCACCTGACAGAACCAGAACCCTTGACTTCCCTAATTTTCAGCACACTCTATAAAAAATGTTCCTTTGCTTATTTAAGAGAAAAAATATTTTTAAAAATGAGTTTAAAATCTAAATCTAAAACACTTGAATATTAAAAGAATTAGACCAATTAAAATAAAACTTTTAATAAATAAAACTTTTCAACTAAATGACTTCTTTGATTTGAATGTTCTCCATGACAGTGAGTTCTTAAATGAAATGTGTACCCAACAGAATAAGCAGTCACATAATATGAAAGTAAAAAACTATTGCCACAGAACCACAGACACTTTTTTGTTTTGTTTTGTTTTTTTGAGACACTTGTTTGTTTTTCATTAAATATATCAAAATGTGAACCTGTTGTTTCTTGATAATATTCCCCAACTGGGTCTTTACATTTCTGAAGGCGGTGTTTTTCTCTAATCCTTTCGTGAAGAATTCTGTACTCTTCAACTTACCAAAGGCAAGCAGCAATGTTGGTATCTTCAAGAGATGCTTAATGTTTGCATCATCGCAGAGTGAAACAACACAACCAGTGGGGCAATCCACAGCCGGTGTCATAATATTCTAGGTCACCAGCTCATCCTTTGCTATCTTTTCCTTTTACTTGTTCTTTCCTGGCCTACTTAAAAGTATAAGAAAATAATCACAGTAGGAAACCTATCTTCACCAGATAGTGTCATGAAGTATGATCAATGGTTTGAGGGAAACACTGCCTTAAACTAGAGTAAAAGATACAGTTTCCCAAACACTTGATTTAATAGGCTGAGTTGATCGAACTTCATAGTTGGTGAAGAAATATTAGAGGGAAAAGTTCTGTGCATTTGACAACTAAGTAAAAACTTACCAGCACTGATTATACTAATGCGAACCCCAAACAATTAAAAAGTAGATTTAATAAAAAACCAGTAATATTTTATCAACGATCATTTATTTGAAAACTATATTGTTAAAAATTAGTAAGAGTCCTGGTAATCATCATGGAAACAAATATTTTGTTAGTTACAAGGTCAAATCCAATGCCTTTAGAATATATATGTAGTTAGCTATGTATGAATATAAAGAAGAAGAAAATTAAAATTTAGTGTTTTATTTACTTATTCAGAAACTACCAGGTCACGCATGTCATTTCCTCTGACTTCTATAGAACTAGAATACGAAACATAAAGTGATTTTTCACAATCAGTAATAATATATAGTGAGATCCCTAAATTCCTCCACTTACATTTTAAAATTTTAAATGATAATTAGTTGTCTCTAGTAGTCATTGAGATTTTAGTTCTGTTCCTTGAATGATATTTCGAATCTTCTCAGCATCATTTTGTACAACTTGGTTGGATGGATCAATCTTAAGTGCAGCTTCATAATCCAGAAGACCTATATTTATGATCAATAAAATATTTAAAACTCTTGTGTTCTCTAGATCAATAAAATAAAAATTTTAGTTTCAATGATCAATAAAATAAGTATTTATAACTCTTGTGTTATCTAGATAATGCTCCTTTAAAAATAAAAGTAATAACTAAAAACATGGTTGGTACAACTGTGAAGTTTTTATGTGGATTCTCGTCTTCACACATGGTAACATCCCTGATACAGAACCTTGCCAGTGATTTCAGTCTGACCACATGGAACGAACTCCAAATGCCCTACAAGTCAGCATTCGTGCATTCAGGAAGTGCATGGACGCCCAAACAAGGTTTGTCACCAACATCTCACCTTTTTGGAAACGAGAAAACCACTCGTACACTTGAGTTTTTCACACAGCACCGTCTTGTAAGCTGTGTTCCACATCACAACAGTTTCTGTGGAATTTCTCCCAAGTAGGAAACAAAGTTTCACACCACACAGCCACCTGCTATTCTCTTAAATCAGCCATCACAAAAAACAAGGTTTGAGTAAAACTGCTTTTAAGAAAAAAATTACTGTGACCACGGAGAACCTTCCCAGATGACACCACTGGGTGCACTAACTCAGAGGGAGTTGTTTGATATTCACCTAGCAGGGGGAAAATGCGTGATAGGAAAACTTCACAGCAGAGCCTTTTCTGTTTTGGGAGGGGATACCCCTTGTGTATATATATATATAATTCTATTTCTTTATAATAAAACACTAGCCAGCAAGGGTTTAGATTTTTCCTAGCATAAATTTCTTTGACTTTCAGTCTCTCAACAACATTGTCATTTACACGGCATCTACTGGTCATGACTTCGTGAATCCTCAGATTTAAGCACTTTTTATCTTTTCCACAGCTTCATCACATACTACAGATGGGACGTTAGCACTTTCTGAAGAGGCCTCGCGGACAGACAATGCTTTTCCTCTCTTTCTGTGGCTGTACCATATTGTCGGTTCATTCATGCTCAACTTATGGCCCACGACACTCATGCCTGCACACAGCTTATCTGACATCTGTCCTTTCTCTGTGGGGCGCATCCGAGCTGCCTCATGTTCCTAGGATATTCATTCAGCCATTTTAGACAGCAAAACCACCACCAGAAGCATAAAAGTGAGAAAAA